AAGCTGCCATGTTGTTTTCTGTAGCCATCGTTTGCGCTAGCTAGCCCATGTGAAGTACACAAACTATCTGAATCTTTTGAGCAGTTCTTCAACATGAATGATGGGAACAAAGACATTTGAGAGATACTCTTTTTTTTTTTTCCTCTTCACGTTTTCTCCTCAGATGCAGACACACATTCTCATCCTGACTTTTCACTGAGATGAAGAAAAACAGGCAAAAGGATGGAGCGTAACTGAAGTCTATAGTGAACAGGAGGAGGAGAGGTGGAGAAGTTGTGGTATGGCCATACATTGCACATCACTACACATGCACGTCTGTACATGGTGATGTAGGTTTATATGTAGTGACAGGTTGTACATAATGATGTAGGCCCTACAAAGTGATGCAGAGCTGTGTCATAATGTATCTGTTACATAGTGATGTAGGTGGTGGATAGTCATGTAATTCTACATAATAATGTAGGTTGTACGCAGTAATGTTAGTTCTATGTACTGTATGTGATATAGGCCATAGTAGTGTAGTAGTGTAGTGAAGACCGTCGTACATAGCGAAGTAGGTCACACATTGTCATAAAAGTCACATATAGTGATTCATTCATCCATCCATCCATTATCTTTACCCGTTTATTCCATTTTGGGTCACGGGGGTCGCTGGTGCCCATGTCCAGCAGTCACTGTGCGAGGGGCGGGGTACACCCTGGACGGGTCGCAAGTCCATCACAGGGCCACATAGAGACAAACGAGACAAACAACCATTCACTCTCTCACTCACACCTAGGGACAATTTTTAGAGTAACCAATCAGTCTAACATGCATGTTTTTGGTCTGTGGGAGGAAACCGGAGCACCCGGAGAAAACCCACGCATGCACGGAGAGAACATACAAACTCCACCCAGAAAGGCCCCTGGACCGGGGTTTGAACCAGGGACCTTCTCGCTGAGAGGCAGCAGCTCTACCAGTTGCGCCACCGTGCTGCCCGTGATTCATTCATTCAACCTTTATTTATATAAGTTAATCTCATTGAGCCTCTGGGATTTACAAGAAAGGTCTGATATTAACAAAGAGTGATGACAACAATAGACAATCATAAAGGATGCGTACAGACTGAGAAGAACAAGTGAAAGAAAATGGTATTAAAAATGAAACAAAAGAACCAGCTAGATTATAAGGAGATGTAGAAAACTAAAAACAGGAAAATGTCTGCATTGTTTTTTGCCAGGAACTTGGAAAATGTTTGAAGCCACTTAGAGAGGTCAAGCTCGAGAGCTTCAGATCTTTTTGCAAGATATTCCAGGAAACAGGAGCAGAGTAGGAGAAGGTCCTTTTGCCCAGTTCAGTCTGCACTGAGGGGACACTGCATGTAATAATGTTCTGAGAGTGCACATATAGTGACGTATGTTGTATATTGTAAGTACTGATGTAGGTCACACATTGTGATGCAATAGTGATGTATATTGTAAGTACTGATGTAGGCCGTGTTTAGTAATGAGGGTTGTATGTAGTAATGTAAACTAAACATAGTGATGTAGGTCGCATATTATAATAAAAGGTGTGCATAGCAATGTAGGATATACATAGTTATGTAGATCATATGTGGTGATGTAGGCCGTACGTTGGGATGTAAGTCATATAAAGTGATTGGTGTAGGTTGTAGGTTTAAGTAAAGGGGTGGGGCTTAAAACTTGGAACCAGCTGGCAGGGAAACTGGGTCCCATTCCAGCTTCAAGTTCTTGATTCTGGTTAGATATACAGTCTGTATAGTTAAAACTCATTGGCATCAAATGATGTATGTCAAACTCTGTTACAGCGAGACATACTTGTTCACATTTCTTTCTTTTTAAGTGTTGCAACTGCTGAGAATAAATTACACTTTTTATTTACCTACCTGAGTTTATGTTAACAGAGTGAGCTTCATAGTAGCTCTCCTTTGCTTTTATAGGTACACACAATTGTTTTTTTATTTTTTTATTGTTTTTTTACACAATTTAGTGCATTCAATCACCGATAAATAACCTGAAATTTATATTTTACATTGAAAATATTTTTTTAATTGAAAAGAACACAAAACGGCAAATCACGGCGCTAAGACAGCTATCAACTTTAAAGTCAAACTATGTTCAAATAAAGAAACAATGATTATGTTTTAAAACATAGAAATAATATAGTTTCTTTTGTCTGGAAAAAAAGAACCACAAGCTCTTACTGAAATTCACAATGTGACCAGCTGCTACGATATAATCATCATAACTCCTTTGTAATTGATAAACTGGAATAACACTCTCATCATGTAGCTGTTTTCACCAGAAATGGGGTTTACAGAGCAGTGGCTCTTTAAAAAGAGAGGGTGGAGACGCCGTTAGGAGTCATAAAACAGCCAAGGTGGGGTCTTGAAATAACGTAGGGAAATCAAATTAACTGACTGACAAATGCTCATTTAACTTTAACTGTTACAAACGGATAAAAACAATGGTCATTAAAGAGCAGAACCTTAAATAATGTTTCACAAGGCTCTTTGTTAAGTGACTTATTGACAAGGTTTGAAAACTTTAGCTAAATAGCTGAAGTCACACGTATCTGGAACTTTTGCTTTATGGGTCAAAAACATAAAAGTTTGGGAACCATTGCTCCAGATCAGCCAGATTATCATTCATGGGTCTGAACGTCAGAAATGATCAATATCTGCATGTCCTCGATGAAATGCGTTTGCATTGTTTTTTTTGTAATCTGACTATCATGCAGAGCTACCTGACATTTTGTGGAGCGTTTTTGTAATCTCAGTCTGCTAAGATGATTCAGGCACAAGTGACATTGCAGAATGCAGTAACACAGGTCTTTGAGCTCTTTTGGCCTGATACTGCTGCTATTTTAGTGTAGACTTTTAAAAACTTTTTAAACTTTTGAACCCTCGTATCATTTCAAACGTTCAGCGTCACATCACGCCACGTTGCTAGGTTTGCATTTATATAGTCATTTTTGTCAAGTTCCACTTTTCTTCCAATTTGACACACTACGTTTAATTTTGATTAAGTTCTTGTAGATTTTTTTGTGCTTTTTTTACTTTCTTGTGTCTACACTTGTTTGTCATAACCATTTCTTAAATATATTTACAACAGTGCAGTTTGCATCGGGAGATAAGTTTAATTTTGGGTGTTTTTTTTTTTGTTTGTTTCGTGTCTTGTTTGTCAGTATCTATCCTGTTTTTGTGGTAATTTCACCACATTTTGTTGATGTATTTTATCATTAAGGTGCGGGGAGTGGTGGAACAGTGGTTAGTGTTGGTGGACCTGTGATCGGAAGGTCGCTAGTTCAACTCCCACAATTGATAACATCAACATGTAGATGGGAAAGGTGAAACACCCACACCTGTCTCCACCCATATTTGTCCCACTCTGGGCCCTTGAGCAAGACCCCTGACCCCACAGCTGCTCCCCCGGGTGCCCTGGCAGCTCTCTGCTCCACACAGAGGGATGTGGTAGCTCAGTGGTCTGTAGTTGCATCGGGAAGGGCATCTGGTGTAAAATCAATTGCCAAGTCTTCATGCAAGTTTGTTGTGGCGACCTCTGAAGAAAGAGCAGCCGAAAGTTAATTTATTTTTTTTTCAGGTCATTTGGACGGTTTCATTTTTTTGCTGAGACGTTTCGTCCTTCATTCAAAGGACTTCTTCAGGCCCAGATGACCTGACTGAACATTGCTGGATTTGTAACCTGGATTATTGAGCATGAACTGTTCGTGTTTTGAACCTTTTTGGCATGACTGCCTCAGAGGAGTGACGGGGGAGAGGGCGGGCCCCAGAAACCATCTTACAAAAGCAAACTGTTTTTTTCCACTGTGTGTGGTATTTGTGGGACTCCAGTTTGTTTGTGGCTTCTCGGACTGAAGAAGTCCTTCAGATGAAGGCAGCGCGACAGCTCAGTGGTTAGCACTGTTGCCTCAAAACAGGTCCTAGGTTCAATCCCCGGTTGGACCTGGGGCCTTTCTGTGTGGAGTTTGCATGTTCTTCTCATGCTTGCGTGACTTTTCTCTGGGTACCTCCCACAGACCCAAAACATGCATGGCCTTCAGGCCTAGGCCTCCCTTGCAAAAAAGATCTAATCTCAATGGGATTTGCCTGGTTAAATAATGAAGGACGAAACGTCTCAGCAGAAAGATGTCCACATTTGTAACCTGGACTATTGAGCACAAACTGTTTTTTAATCATTATAATTTTATGTTTGCTTCTTAAATATCATAAATTAATATACTTATGTTTTGCTGCAGACACCTAAATGTCTAGAACAAGACGTTTTCTTCCCCAAAGCGTTTACTTGGATGACCCAATCAGTGATCTTCCTATGCTTCTGTGCAACAATTTACAACAACAAAAAACCCAAAAGCACCAGTTGTATTTATAGCACGGGATATGTAGTGCGCTTCTATTACGGGGTGTACGGTAACCAAAGGAATGTGTCACACTGATGTCAACTTGTTATTTACTTTCCAAATCTGAATGACTGAGCAAGGCGAAAGGAGAATTAATCAACCGCTGTGTGACCAGGCAGGCGAAAAATAGCAGTGTGGGGGAGGGGAGGTGGTTTAAAGCAGGCCAGAAAGGCAGCGCGCTGAACTGAACTGTACTCAGCAGTGTGCTTCAACCAGAAGATACCTCAATGATAAGACAATTAGGAGCGTCTTGAATCAGCAAACTGCACGTATAAGTATTATTTACTCGAATGAATGCGTTTTACGTGTCAGATATACGCTATATTTATACATTAGAGTGGCTGTGGGGGGAAGGGATAAACAGTATGCTAGTCGTAGGCGTTTACAAACTGTTTTTTTTTTTTTTTTTTTTTAGCTCGCATGCTAGCTTATGTTTTCGACAACTGTGAGATCTACGTGTAGCTCGGCTCTTCTAGGTCATTATTCCCGTGATTAAGTAATGCTCAGTTGTGTTTTGAGTATTCAGGTTTAAGGTCAGGCAGCATCCTCCCTCCCTCCCTCTCTCTCCCTCTCCCCCCCCATTCTCGTGTGTCTCTCCCACTCCTCGCCGCTGTCTCTGCCGCTCCTGGTTCTCAGCGAGCGGTGAAAACTCGGGCGAGCAGCCCCGCAGACAAGAGTCGGGCTCGGTCCAACTTTTTTTTTTAATTTTAATTAAAATTTTTTTTTATTATTATTATTATTATTTACCGCCAGTTGTGACGGTGGCACAAAAACGAAATAAGCCGACAGTGAGTCATACTGCGCGGTCGGAACTTGAAATATGACGATTAGCAAAATGGGAGGAAAGTGTTCGCTCGCTTGCTGAAGTTGGAGGTTCTCCTTGTGGAAGAGGAAGAGAGGTGGCGGCGGACACCACGAGTTCACTCTCACAATAACAACAAAACAAAAAAAAGGTAAGCTTTAAACGTAGGCTGCCACGGTGTATATTTATATATACATATATGCCCTGTTTCCCGCACTGCTCGGTCTGTTTGGGTTTTATGTGAAGGAGATAATGACTTTCAGAGATGGATGGATTATGGCGTTTAGCAGAAGGTTGCCGGCTCGTAGCTTTAATCACCCACTGACTCCACACGTGTGTTAGTCTTTTTTAAATGCACTCCCTGCTATTGCTACTTTTCTCCCACGTTTAATTCATATATTGTATTTAATCAGGAACACTTTACTGTATACACTTTAAAAGATGGGAGGTTGTTCCTTTTTTTGTTCTTTTTTTTTTTTTTTTGGTTGAACAAGTAGTTTTTGTCAATTAATGCTCTACATATCAACAAAAACCACCCTCCCAACGCATGGAGCTCCAGTCACAGTCCACATGTTTAAGCTTGTGTGTGGATGATGCATTTATATTGGGATTATTTTGGCTTGCTGAGTTAGAAAAGAGCATGTGTGGGGGAGGGGAAAGACTTTCAACTGTACATGAAACTGCTACCAGTTTCAAGGGACAATAATGTTTCTGTATAACTGCAATGTTGAGCTGTAGGTGTCATTGCAGTGCAGCAGAAACTAAATATTACACCCGCCTTATTATTTAAGCTTTAACTGGAAAAAAAAAAATGGGTTAATGGATGCTGTATTCTCATCCATAAATGTAAATGTCTGTCTTGGCCTTAGTCAGTGTTTATGAAGACATCAGTACTGTCTTAAACTAATTTTCCATTTCTCGATCCCACAGTATAAATGCCAATGTAATACTCTTATTTGCCTTTTTACTCGGTAATTGTTTCAAGAGGTTTTACTTGATTTCAAGTATCTTATTTGTACTGGTTAATTGGCATTGGGGTAAATTGTTAAACTGTAGCATCTCATGCTTTATTTTGGCTTTTTCCAAAATAAATGTTGCATGTAATCGTCGATGGAAAGGCATTTTCAGTTTAAGTTTATATGAAGACTCACGTGACTGATCAGCTGTGTGTGTTGGTGGAAAATGAACAGGACTATTTATTTACACTTTAAAGAATACCAGTGTCCCTAGTTTAAACATTACTTCATCCACTCTGTAGCTAAGAATAATAAGAGTGTCGTAAGGACTTTTCTCTAACCTATGGTAGTGTCTCACTCAGTTGTGGCTAATTGATGATGCAAAAGTGTAGGAAAATAGGCACATTTATTGAAGTGTCACTGAATTTTGGATGTTAACGACCTATAAGCGGTGTGGCCGTGTTTTCAGCAACTAGTCCTTTTAAAATCATGACCTATTTTGTGTGCATGGGTTGCAAAACCGTGTTTTTGGCTGTGCACATTATTTTGTCGCCTACCTTTTTATCAACGTGCTTACCTCAGCTTGCTTTGTACCCACCTTGGCCTCCAGCCCATGTTTCTGATTTAATCTAATCTTTAGAATGCAAAGTAGACTGTTCTGGACCAGTTTTTCACCTAGCATGTACAATTTGTGAGAGTTTTAGACCTGTAGTCTCTGTTTTCAGTCAAAACAGCTTTGTACAGTAGTCACAATTCATCTCTACTGCGCTATAGATGAGTTTAAAACACCCATGGCAAAAATCTAGACAAGCTTGAGTCATGGGCAACAACTCTGCAGTTATTTTAAAGTTGTTGTTTTTTTTCTCAAAATACTTTTGAACATGTTCAAAATGCGCACAAGGCTGGAGCCTTATTTATTTGAACGAGGAACGTTTTGACATGTTGCAGACTACTTTGCAAATGCTGTTTGCTAACTAGTTGCCAACAGTCATAGCCCAGTAAGTTACAATAGTCCCTCGATTATCGTGAGGATTACATTCCACCCACCACCATGATAGGTGAAAAACTGCAAAGTAGGAATGCTATATTTATTTTAGTATTTATATTTTAAGGCTTTATAAACCCTTCTCACATTCTTGCAATGTTCTAAACTCTTAAACCTACATCAATGTTTCCCCTACCATTATAAAAGTGGGGCGCCCCGCTATGTTAACAGAACCGACCGCCCCGCCTACCGAACTGCGCACCCCCCCACCTGTTGGTACCACTGGCGTAACACAATACATACAGGCTCGCTAGCTAAAAAGCTAAAGACAGTGCTCATGATGCCTCTTCCCTCATGCTGAATACCCCCCCCCCCCCCCCCCCGCTCTCGAAAACTGCCAGTACAAACAGTCCACCCCCCAACTCGAAAATTGCAAAAATTGCAAACGGCGCGCAGCTCAGCTGTGTCTCTCTCTCCCCACGCTCCAGAAATGCCAGTACAAATAGTGCACAGCTCATATGTGTCTCCCCCCCCCCCCTCCCTGGTTGAAACAAAACGTGGGATGAAGTAAGCTCCCCGCCATGGCAACTTATCTAGGGGAAATACTGTACGTAATTTTAACAACATACATATATGTACTGTACAGTACTGCAAAATTTTACTCACCAGCTCTGCAGAACAGCAGCTCAGTTCCGGTTGGGCTTGGTTCCGGTTCTGCCGACCTTCCGCCCCAGCCAGGTTGATGTGTGCGTGGATAATTGAACTTCAGGACTTTCCTGCCAGTACTTTGAGCTTAATAGATAACATAGATTTGCGTTGCAAAACTTTCCCTACATTTCGGCAGAAAGCAGCGGCTGGAAGCACAGTTGGCTTGTGGGCAGTGTAGTTGTTTTTTGACTGGCGTTACAGTGTAGGCTTATTGAAAGAAAACTACAAAATGGCGGCGCAAAGTATTTTTTCTGTTAACTTATTATTCCGTACCAATCATGTGAGTAATATTAAAATTGACAATCGTTGGAAAAAGAGCGAGTTTGTGAAAGTTGAACCGTGAAGTAGCGAGGGACTACTGTACTTTTTCCTAAAACTATCAATTGCTAATAAACATTTTGCCTTGTTCCTTTTATTTCATTGTTACTTTTGACATGTCAAACACAGCAGTAAACAGCCTTTATGGCTACTTTCTTTGTACTAGTTGATCAGTGTATAGTTTCACGCTCTTTGTTTACTTATTTTAGGTTTTAGGAGCAATTTCATTTCACATTGGTCATTTTGTAAAACTTACTCAGGATTGTCATTGGCTATCTTGGTGGTAGTTTTTTTTTTTTTTATCAGAGTTTTTCTAACAGTACTCTGAATAATCTCTGATTTGGAGCTAGAACCAACAATATGAGTGCCGTTGTTTTTTGTTGGCGACTTTTTGTTTGGTAAAGTTCAAGAAAAGTAGCACAGCTTACACTCAACTGTGATTTAGTTTCTTTACGCTCGAGGCTTCTGAATTATGTTCATTGCCTCCTTGAATGGGAGCAGAAGAAATTTGTGTCTGAGATGACCTAGATGTCCGTCTAAGTGTCATGTTTCAATCGCTGTCAGCCAGAGCTGATAAATGTGTTTGCTACTGCAGTCATTTGACCCCGGTCTTATGAATATAGTCCTACTGAACACAAAAGACCAGTGTCAGTGGTTTCTTTATTTTTTTATTTTTTGGTGTTCAACTTCAGTTGAGCATGCATCAGGAAACCAGTTATTATTAGCTGTTTATACAGTTTCTCTTAAGATGTTGTGTAAATGGTGCCTTTTTCTACTAAATAGTGTTTGTGTGGTGTTAGTCATGTTTTATAACAGGTTTAACACAAAGCATACCGCCTTTAGTGTGAGTTCTGTGTGTGATCAGGTTTGAAAAGAAACCTCATCACCCACAATGAATAATAAAAAGACCATTTGTTTTTATTACACCTTGTCCCCTTTGTTTCGCCCTTGTTTTGATTTTCTGTAAGTCATTCAAATCTATCGAGTGTGAGGCAACAGAGCAGAGCCTTCGGAGAGATTGTGTTTAAAGCTTAAAGGCATCCTGTGCTCAAAAGTAGGGCAAGGAAGTCCCCGAGAAAGCTTTTGTCTGTCTTGTGGTGCAACAATTCTCTGTTTGGAGCTAACCAAATATTTCTGTAGCAGTATTTATTTATGATGGGCTGTGGGGGGAGGTGAGCCATTCTCTCCTACCCCATAGAGGCGTGCAGTGTTCACGGGCTACCAGCCAACTGGCACACGGGTGCTTACTCTGAAAATACGCCCATACAAGTAGTGGCTTGGTCACAGTTATGCAGTTGCTTATGCTTTAGGTTTAACTCAGAAATATTTTGAGATTGTGTGAAGTTTTGTGTGTAGTTTGACTGTTTATTTAAATTAAAACAAATGCACAAGCCTTTATTAAATATGTGTTTGACTGTTTCTTTGTTCAGTATGATTTGAGCTCTGTGCTCCGTTCTTTTTCGTAATTGTTCCATTTTAAGACTTCACATTTCTGTAATCTGTTCATGTCTGTGTGTGGTTATTATGCTCTGCCAGTAAACCGTTTTCTTTTCCACCCAAGGTCAGTCACTTAATACAAGCATGTTGTCTGCTGTATGTAACGTAGCACAAATCTATGTTGCGTTCGTTAACTGCATCTACCAGGAGATTTGAAATCAGTTTTTATGAAGCAAACAGGGTGTATGGATGGGAACAGTAATGCTGCTGGTGGATGACTCTTCAGGAAGTTGTGCAAGAACATGCTTGCCTTAGTGAAAAATAGCTTAAACTTTGTATTCGCATTGTCCTAATTTTTTTCATGTCATTTTGATTGAGCCAATTTTGCATACCTTGTACTTTTGAAGTGAAAATGAGTAGTATGTATTCATGGTCCGATTGTACTATTTTTGTAGTATAATTTAGAGCACATATGTTCACGTGTTTTAACTTTGAGTGACAGTGTAGTCAGTATACATCATAATAAATACAGCATGATTTTGTTGTGTATAGCAAGGATGAATGGAGCAATAAAAAGCTTAAGATTGATTCAGATAGTAGAAATTGGTGGGAAATGATGGGACTACCCATAATATCAGATTGGACAGTCTGAGATTGCTATAAGATGAATAATGTAATGATTCTAGAAGGAAATAAAGGGACCTCTATATATCATATAGGTATATTTTGAAATTGCATACTTCAAGG